TGTCGATCGGGGCACATTGGAGATATGCCTTCATCTCATTGTTCTTTCCCTGTCTGTGGTAAATGAATCTTTTCGTTCTTCTTTTGTTTTGCTTTCTCTTCTAATATTTTTTGTTATTAATGCCGTCAAGTGTTGGGTGCTAATTCTCTGAGAGAGCAGGTCATGGCTGGTTCTGGACATTTACAAACCTTTAAGCTCTTGAGATTTCTCCGGAACAGAAATTCTGCGGATGGACATGTAAATTATGGTGTTCAGATGGCGGTAAGTCTTCCACTGCTTATTGTCTGATCTCATATTTCTTATACAAATGTTCATTCTTTTGCTTGAAATTTTTTTGACGGCGGACCCATTATTGGGCTTGTTGACAAGAAAATCACTGCTCCCCTTGAACATGTGAGTATATGCAAATCTTTATGTGGACAACATTGTGATATTAGCTGCGAATGCTTAAATTTTAAGCTGTTGTTTGTTGGTGGTGTGTTTTGGGGGATATACACAATGCAAAAAGATGTGGGATTCATTGCCCATTCTGCTTCATCCATGCATTCCATCATGTTTACACTGTTGTAATGCCCTTCCAAATGCTGCAGAGTTCATTTACGCAGGAGCTGCTGAGGATTTTATTTTACTTGTATTTGTAATTTTTTCCATAATCATGTTATCAAAAGAACATAGTTTGATAAGAAAAGGTGGTTGGTTTTCTCTGAGTCTCATGTAATGTGCAAGAGATGTTTAGCATTTCTATGAAGAATCCTCAATATAAAAATAATGTGATATGCTTTGAAAGCTCCATCCTCTAAGTCACATTTGACTTTCTGAATGCATGATGTAATTTGAGATGAGATGAGCATTCCTGGGGTTTTTTTTTTTTTTTTTTCTCAAATGAATGGCACTATGTTTGCAATTATACATTTATAATTTGAAAGTCAATTATGTTGAAAGGACTGTATTCTGTTACAATTTAAATTTTGTTGCATTTGTAACTCTGGTGACTCTAGGTAAGCCTAGCTATTGGGTTCTTGTTCCTTGGGGGAGGAACGCAGACATTTTCAACAAGCAACAGTTCAGTTGCTGCTTTGCTGATTACTCTCTATCCACGTTTGCCTACTGGACCAAATGATAATCGATGCCACCTCCAGGTACAGTAAAATTCAGTGAAGTTTAAAAGGTTTTCTCAGGCATTACATACATCAATAATTGGGTTTGAAAAATTCATTCAATTGTTTATTACATAATATCAGTGGACCAAGCAATATTAGTTATTGTGGTACATTGGACAGCTCCTGAAATGTGAAGAACTGTCCTTATTTGGATTTTGAATAAAAATGGCCATAAGGAAAAACTTTTGATATATATATTTTTCAGTCTGGTGACTTCGATGTCATGCCAATAGAGAGGGATTGCTTCTTCACCCCATAATATCCGGTTGCTGTTTATTAGTATCATGATTTTATGAAGTGTATTTTCAGGCATTCCGGCACTTGTATGTACTTGCAACGGAAGCTCGTTGGATTCAGACGGTTGATGTTGACACCGGTCTACCTGTGTATGCCCCTCTTGAAGTTACTATAAGGGAAACTGAACATTATGCAGAAACAAGTTTTTGTGAGGTTACACCTTGTCTTCTGCCAGAACGTGCCATTGTAAGTTTCAACAGTTAAGAATAAAGTCAATTCTTTATCTTCCTTCTCTCTCCCCATATAATTGAAGTGAACATGAGACATCTACTTGGGAAAATTTGCTGCTAGCTCTGCATGGAAATTTTCGTGCTCTTGGATTTTCAAGAAAAATATTTGAAGAAATTGTTATATAAAATATTTTAGTTTTTACCATGACAATTTTTTACTGGAGCTTTTATGGATTGCCAAATGCAATATATTTATTTGCAGATTTTATGTTCCTGTGTGACTTTACGTAATTAATTACCTTGGAAATAAATCTGTCAGCTCTTTCATATATGTTTTAAAAAAAACAAAAAAAAACTTAGAGCTTTAGGGTTGATGGGTTATTTGATTTTCTGCTGTTTGCAGTTGAAGGCAATACGCATTTGTGGCCCTCGGTATTGGCCGCAAGTAATAGATCTAGTCCCTGAAGGTATGCACTTGTTGCTGCTTGTTTTTGCTAATGTATGCTACTTCCGATAATTTTATTACTTTTAATAGTCAAACTAAAACTTTATTTTTGTTATTTCAAGGCTCTGCAATGTTTAGCTGTATTCCATATTTTGTTAAACAGATAAACCTTGGTGGACCCCTGGGGACAAGAATAGCCCATTTAATTCTGGTGTTTTGTATATCAAGAGAAAAGTTGGAGCTTGTTCCTATATTGATGATCCTATAGGGTGTCAGTCACTGCTGTCACGAGCAATGCATAAGGTTAAAAATTCTCTACCACTGGTAAATATGTTTGAGATCTGTCTTGGATGATACTGTGGATACCAAATTGTTCTCTGTCCAGGTGTTTGGTTTGACAAGTTTAAAAGCACGCGATTCATGCTCCACTGGGGACAATGGACCTGGTTCTGTTACTGTTGACCAGTTGGTTGCTACCTTCTCATCTGATCCTAGCTTAATTGCTTTTGCACAACTCTGCTGCGACCCTTCATGGAAGAGCAGGTAAGTATGCAGATTTTTCTTCTTTCTTTTTTCCAGTTTTTAGCTTCACATTTTGCTACCTTCTGTTTCTTTTCTTTTCCATTCTCTCAAATAACCAGTCTTAAAATATATATGCAGATCTGACATTGATTTCCAGGAGTTTTGCTTGCAAGTATTATTCGAGTGCGTGAGCAAGGACAGACCTGCTCTTTTACAGGTAACCATAAAATATGCAAGGATGAGCTTATTTTTCCGCGTTGTCAATTTAAATGAACCTTGAATTACCGAGTTAATTCTTCCAGTATGGTTGGATGCCAAAAGGGCTGTTATTTGCTTGTACCTGCAGAGAGGTATAGATTGACATTATTTAGATGCGACACATTCAAATGCAACTGACTTTTGCTTTTCATTTTATTCAATGTCAAGTGGATTATGCTTTTCATTTTAATTAATGCTTATTAGATGCTCCATTTCTTATTGCGACCTTTCTTATAATGAACTGGATGTGATCTCCTGAAAATTGTGCAGGTCTATTTGTCATTATACACGGCAATTGGATCAATGGCAAGGCAACTTAGCAGTGATTCTGTTGTTTTATGTGACTCACTCGCTATCTCTAATCTTAAGGTGGCATTCTATAGACATTTAAATTCTTCCGACTTATACCTTACATTGCAATGATTCAAAATTGTTTTAATTACATAGAGTTGAACATTGGTATTATTTTGTTGGTGCCCGAGTGAAACTTCGATTACAAAGCCATTTCATAAGGATGATATTTTAAGCCACTTTAGACCAAGGTGATCACTGATTGAAGTAGGATGAGTTGAATATGCAATGTGGATATTAACCAAAGAAAGAAAGAAAGAAAGAAAAACAAGTTAAATGTGCAATTGGTTAAAATCACATCGATTTTTTTTTCTTTTGTTAATAATTGATTTTTGTTTTATCAATGACATAACTTGTTGCACTGTATTTTTTCATCTACCCCCTTCTGCTTGCAGCTTGCACTAGCATACAATGAGGCTTTGCTGAGCGGAAGATTGACCTCTTCAAGAGGTGGCAATGTTCAATCCAACTTTATAGCATGTCTTAGGAAGCAGGTGGAAGAGCTCCTAAACTGTTCTCAGGACTTGAAGGATGATTTCTGTAATTATGTGCATTCCGGGAGGTGGCCGAACGGGGAATCCCAGGGAGATAAACGCCAACTACTCCTTTCTTGGTACGTTCAGTGGTTGGGTGTACCGTCTCCGTCCGTAATTAAGGTGGCCGTGGAGAAAGTCAAGCCCAAGCTCAAGTCGTCATCTTTGGTCCCTTTATTGCATTTACTATTTCCGAGAACCCACATCAATGCCATTGCTGAGATAGATAAGTTATTTTCATCTTAGGGCAGCCGATGAGGCATGGATGGTACAGACCATTTGTTACAGAATGTTCATCTCCAGACTCCAGGTATGGTCTTGTTCTGTGCTTCCCACTCGAGTAAAACTAAATATCGTGGAGCAAATCACATTCATCTGCATGTCTACATGTGCGGATACAATATCCCCTATCTACATGTATATGTAAAATGACACAATTAAATGTGAAATTTATTTATATTAGTAGTATCATCTCTCAATCATTGGTTTCAAGATTCGAAATGTCCGATTGTAGATGTGAGAAAAATTTTGAAAACAAAAAGATGAGTGAGAAATAGCAAAGAGGTGTTATGAGAACAAAAATAGAAAACATAATTGAGAATTCTCTTTGCATACTTCACTTATCCTATGCATTAATTGCATCACTTTGAACTCTGATCATCATCTTAGGGGAAAAAAAAAAGGATAAGCACTTCAATTTTGTTTTATTTCCACCTTTATGTTTAAGCCATTAAAATGGTTTTAAACTACCATAATAAAATGGCATAAATGCACATAAGGCCCTACTTTTCCATGGAATCTTTATTTTTTTAATTTCTCCAATTAATTCATAAACAATTCCCTTCATATGGTGTGCATCACAAGAAACCAATAGGAAAAATTATGTTCGGGCAAGTATTTGGTAAACGGTAAATGTCTCCTTGTTAAGATGGCATGCTATGCTAAGATCTATGATGTTCTATTTGCTTGGGAAGTAAAATTGTTATGAAATGTAAGAACTAAGCAAAAACCAACGGTGAATTCCCGTCATTTGTCAAAGCCGCCCTCTCAAGCAACGAAAACAGCTCCATCATAAGTTTTGCCTAATTAACACAATTACGCAGTGGTATTGGTTTAAAAAAGAAATTAACATAAATACACTAAAAAGAAAAGGAGTTAATTAACATGTGAAGTAATGTTTTGCATTTTCTTTATTTTTCTTTCCAATATGAATTATACAATTCAGGTGGCGTTTCAGCCTTAGCAAATTGTGAGACTTGGCAGAACAATAGCATTCACCTCAGTCAGATTTGGTTGAAAATTGAACCAAAAGAAAAAAAAAGAAAAAAAAAGAAGGTTGAACGCTAAAATTCAAGCTATAAGAAATTAAAAGAAGAAACTGAGGAGAAATTACATGAACTGGACCCAAAATTAAAACAAAAAATTATAAGACAAGTACGAATTTTTCCTATGTGTCAAGAGCGGGAAATGATACGTGTGTAGAGAAACTCGTTCCACGTGTCGGGCAACCCAGGAAGGCACCAATGGATGCAATCTGCGTAAGTTTCTGGGTCTGCTTGCTGCTCTGGTGTTAACATTTTGCCTTGTCTGATTGTATGGACTGAGGTATGTGCATCTTTGCGAAACTCAGAGAGGGTTGTGATGTTAAGAAAGTAAACAGGCACTTTCATTGATCGAGTTATGTTGCTTGCAATCACAAACAGCCTGCGATCTGTGCCCACCTCCAATGGAGTTGTTGCGTTCAAAACTGGTGTCGTCTCTTTTGCACATTTTATGCCATCTGGGTTGTCCCAATCCAAACTCCTGTTACATTTCATTTCATGCACAATATTAGTTTTTTTTTTTTGTCAAACGATGCACAATATTAGTTAATTATGTCAATAATATTCAATGTGCGACTGACGCTAACACAATAACTAAACATTCGATTGACATTGACATAATAACTCGTGTAACACGCATGTAATGTTCATTATGTCAATAATATTATGTGAAAAACGCTAGTGTGAGCTTGCTCCAACTGACTCTAGCACAACTACTCCTATAACATATATTTTATACAATAATTGTTATTTGGAAATATGTAGTGGTTAACCAACGAAAACCAAATATTAGGGTCTAATCAAAGGTTCTGGGGTTCATACACCCACTATCAACCACCAAAGCTCATGCTTACCTAATGGGGTTATTATTATATTCTTGTTTCCCTTTCACATAACCTCTGGACAATTAGAAAAAGTATTGTTAGCTGAGCTAAATGCACTTTCTCAACGAATACTTGGCCCAGGACTAAGACTTGCCTCATAAATTCACAATGAATTGATTGAAAGAAGAGTTGGGTAAATTGCAATTTACAATCGGGTAAAGTTAAATTAAAAAGTTGGCACTAAATTTCTAATCTTTGTTTAAATCTAAAACCATTACAAATTTGTTAATTAGGGCCCTAATGAAGAATCACCAAACAAAGATTCTTGAGTGCCCATGTGGTGAACACACATACAGTTGACAAATGGCTCTCTTGTAAATGCAGAGAATATTAAGTCGTAATTATTATCTATGCTTTTGTTTTCCGTTTTCTTTTTTTTTATAATAAAAATGCAAATATTTTGGCAAAACTGTTTCCACATTTTGAAGCATAAGAAAATAATATAGTAAAGGAGTGTGGAAATTACTTGATGTGGAGAGGGGACATGCTGGTGAAGAAGACGGTGGTCCGATTAGGGTCAATGTTCTTGTCCACCCATTTAGCCCATGTCCTCATAACCTTCCAATACGCTACAGGCCGTTCGATCTCATCAAACTCCGTGGCCCCTTGATCGAACGATCCTCGTCTTTTGTCATTAAAAACAACAAATAAAATTAACATTATTAATTTGGAGGCAAAATTTATTTATATTTTTTGAGGTGATTAAATGAGCTACTTACAGAACTTTCATTTTGAAAGTGTTCATCCACCAAATGTATGTGTTGAAGATGAGGAAATCCACACCCTTCCAGTTTTCTCCATGCTTCTTGATTGACTTGGGCATGATTATACGATTCAATATGCTGTGCATTGTGGGATCATCTGAATTTGACTCCACCAGGAATGGAGCCCAGTAGAATTCAACTGTAGCATTATAGTCCTAAAACCAAATAAACAAATAAACTTATTATAAATAAAAACAACAAAACATCACAAGCCAGTTTCAGAAATATGTGTCTGCTGCTCATAACTATGCCAATTCTTAGTGCTGTTGGCTTGCTGGAATGCCAGACAGACTTACATGCATGAAGAAAAAAAAACCTCTACAACAAAAATAATTGTTCTTTTTCTACAAAGCTAAGGTGGGCCATCATAAGAGAACAGGAAGGAGAAAAAAGGGTAAAGAAGAAGATGATTTTATGCACCTCAATTCTGAAAACAGAGAGAGAGCCATTCTTTGTCAAGTTCTTTCTGCCAGGAGGAATGATAGACTGAGCAAAACATATCATTGATTCCCACTGGTTTCTGTTCAATGAGTCTCCAACAAACATTAGCCTCTTGTTTCTCAATTTCTCTAGCAACAGCCTTGCATTGAACCTTAAGCACACAATAATCAACATCATTAAACCCATAAACTAAAATTAAAATCAAAATTCATAGGAAAAGATGGAATCAGAGAATCGAAGGCATATATATGCTTACTTTGGGAGATTACAATCTCTGGGCTGCCATCTCCAATGTTGGTACAGAGAGTCCTTTCTTCCATTTCTCATGCAAGTCACTTGCGCTGTGAGAAACTCGCATTCATCTTCTTTGTACAGAGGGTGGGTGACAGGATCGAAAACCCAGTCTCCATTAAACAAATCACAGTCTTCTGGAGGCAATTCAATCTCTTCCTCTTCTTCCTCTTCCTCTGGTTGTTGAGAACCCAACAATTCAATCTTCTGTTCATCGTCTTTTTCCGTGATGGATTTCAGATCAACCGGTTCTTGGGTTTCCTCGGAGCTATTCTCTAACTGGGTTTCTTCCAATTGAGCTCTTGAACTCAGTGAAACCCTGTGTTGGATTTCGCTCGGTTTGGTTTCTTGAACAGAGTCACTCTGTTTGGTCTCTTGAACAGGGGTGTTCTCTTTTGTTTCTTGAACAGGGTTGCTCTGTTTTGACTCATCTTCTTGGAGCTCCTGGGCCTTGGGCGTTGAGAATGGAAATTCGGCAATGGACTTCACATCCTCGTTGTACATGAAGATCCCAAAGAGGAATATTGAGAAGACCACCACGAATATGGGGAGGTTGTTGTTCTTGCGTGCCTTCATTGACACAGATTCAAGGGGAAATGCCGTTTTTCTGCGAGGTAGCTGCATGAGAGAGAGAGAGAGTGGAGTAAGAAGAGGTGGTGAGAGATGGAGTGGGAGAGGGAGAAAGAAGGAAATATAAGAAAGAAATGAACAACATGAAGTTAAGTTTAAGAGAGTTTGTGGATTTAGTATTATTAGGTTAAGTTTGTTTAATTGGGTGTTCGGTGAAATGGGGTTATCTTGAAGAAATGGCTTTGGCTTTTGGTGGAGGGAGAATTGTCTTTCTCAGTTGCTTGCTTATTTCTATTATAAGCCATGGCTAACTAATTCCTTCAACTTGGCCCAAAGAGGGAGAGAGAGAGGGGGAGAGAGAGAGAGAGAGAGACAGAAGTAATTTCAAAGCTTTGCCATGTTGGTCCTAGTCTCAGTTAGATGAGAATGATCTGCAGGTTGTGGTGATGATATGGAATTAAGCACTCAACTCAAAGGCAGGCAGTCGTTTTTGTCTGTAGATTTTGATGGGGAAGCTTCAACAGTCATACACAGTTCTTAAAAAGTTCAAATTTTTATGAAGTCAAAAAGGCTAATAATATATAGTTTGGTCAACACTGTTGCAGGATGGATAGTTTCAATCAGATGGCCACGTATATAGATTTATGAGCATCGTCCCCTTTCATCCTTCACCTTTCACTAATTCATGTCCACAACACTATGATTTTGTGTTGAAAGAGTGCTTGAAATTCTTCTAGGAGTGATGAACTTTGGCCATAATGTGCTTTGCCTTTTTGGATTGAGCCTGTGCTGGCTATTATTAAATCCATTCATGCATGGAACTCCTGTGTTAAGGATTGTTTGTTTAGGAAAATAGTCAATATTGGTTTGGTAATAATTGTAATATATAACTCTCAACCTATTATGCCATGGATAAGGAAGTAGAGGGTATAGGAAATAATAATTACTCTCAACCTAACTCATAAATTATAACATTTGCTAATGAACAAACTAAATTCACAGAAGGGTTTTTTTATAGACATTAAAAAAAATTTGTCTGAAGTCTAAAACTGTAAAATTCATTATGATTAGTTTGCCCAAAGTCATCTAATCATGCATTAGTTTTTAAAAAGGTCACCTAATCATACCCTTTTATTTATGTCCATGTAAATTAAAGTTATTTCTCTTTTTTAATAGAAGCGATAGTTTAAACTACAAAGAGATAAAGTTTCTCACACACACACTACTAAGGTACTATGAGGATTCGAACCCTCGACAACTGGTCTGCAAATCAAGGCATTTTCCACTAACTAGACCATGTTGGTAAATTGAAGTTATTTCTTATGATATGAAAATAGGGTTCTAAAATTCAGTCTTGAATGGTCTAGGCATAGCATGCATGTGAGCTTTCTTTGTCCCCAACAACAACAAAGCTTCAACTGGTCAAGCGTATAGTTGATGCATCATTGAAGGCTCTTGATCATAATGATTTGTTTTACAGCAACAAATCCTAATAATTATGAATAACTTTATGTTTGAGAAAAGTAAAGGCTAAGGAACACTTTTTTTTTATTACTTTTATTTTATTTTATGTTTTCGTGTAGTGAGTATACCAACATTCTCTGGTTTGTGCTGTGTACTTCATCTGCGTGGTAGTTTGATGGGTGGAGAGTTTGCTTACTTTCCAAGTCAAGCCAACTGCTTCAGCAAAACCACTTCAACGCAGACATTTTACAGCTCATGTTAATCCATGAAAATGAAAAATAAAAACCAAATACGTCATTTAAAAGAAGAAAGAAATAGAATAAGTTCTGTCCTTGCATGGAAATAAAAAATGGTATGACGGCGATGGTTTTCTAACACCTGAAATATGAGAGAGACAAATAATTATAGCCTCTAAAATAGTTTGGATGAAGCCTAAATACAATGTATATATAATTGAAAAAAATAAATTTTAAGGTTTTATTCTATTGATTTAAGAAAATACTATTGGCTTGTGGAGGGAATTTAAACATACTTTGTATATTAAGAGGCAAAATATACATACATGGGCTTAACCAAATTGGTTAGAATGGATATGCTCTCAACTTTACAACCGAGTTCAAATTCCCCTTCCCGTAGTTTAGATTAGATTAAAAGTTTAAGGCAAAATATGCAATTTATATATTTGAAGAGAGAACGAGGGAAGATTTGGATTATTAATCGATTTTAGGTATGGAAAAAAATTGGTCAACTTGACTTCAAAATTTGTTAGAGGTTGACTACATTGTAATGAGGGAGAAAATACAATAACATTTGGGTAGGGTTTAAATATGATTTGTTATGACAGGTTCTTAGTTATTTTTCTTATTTTGTCTTTGGGAGATGTGCTACAGCGGATTCTTGTGATTGCAAGAGGAAAACTAAACAATATATAACAAAGATAGGTAGTTTTTGTTGCAAAGTCTGGATCCTTCATCCCTACGGGCCTTCATCGTGAGTATATTAATAAGCCCAATATTTTATTCAAGGACTTATTATTACATGGATATTCATAAATTCCACGTGGCAGAATCGGAGAAAAAGTTGAATGGACTGACTGGGATAGGTTTAACTCGTCAGTTGTTGTGAGGCATTACAAGACACTGTTAACATTTGAACTAGTAGATGAGCTTTGGACTTACGGAAGATTTAAGATATGTTCTAAGCCTCCAAGGCATCGTGCCAAGAGAAGCGTATGTATTCCGTTCTTTTCTGCATATTTATTTAGTCATACGAATGTCTATTTTGCAAATACATGGAAAAAAGATGCATTAGATTGAGGCCAAGTTAATATCAGGAACTTCGTGTGTTTTTCATGAAGATCAGCTTTCTTTGTGAACGAGCAAAAGGCCAAGACATTATCAGGGATCCCTTGTTTCTGTAGCTCCTGAAACGAGCAAGATTTTACAAATTGAGGGACCATAAAACCTAGTGTAATTAGGATAATTAGAAATATGCATTAATTTAATTCAATTTCCTAATTTAATTCGATTTCCAACATGCATTAGGGCTTAGGACGTTGAATTATAATCTTGGAAGATATCTATTTGTATATAAATAGGGGGGGGGGGTCAATAAGGAATTGAAATCTTCAAAATCCATGTATTACTCTTGATCAAGTGAACAATTTCCTGCGGATCCAGTCCCTACAATCAAACTCCAATATCTAACAAGAAGTTGGAGAAGAAGCCAGAGTTATGGATGCCTTACCCACAGAAATTCATCAAGTACCTCGACTTTTTCTTTTTTCTCGCTCTTCCTTTGATGAACAAAGGATACACCCATTGAAATACGACGATGACAACAACTTATTGACAAAGAGCAAACATGAAATTGCTTTTGAATTCAAGTCCATACGGGATTATGAGCACAAATATATTTTCTGCAACTTGTTTGGCTTTACTAGGTATGATGTGGAGAATGTAAGGTCATGTGCCTTGGTGAATCCTTTGAAGGGAGAAGTTCTAATGCTCCCAACAACGAGTGACCTCCAAGTTCCGCCCAATAGACTCTGCCACATTGATACTTATGGCATGGGATTTGATAATATGACCAACACCTATAAGATTGTTCGTGTCTCCCCCTATCTAAAGGAGGACCACCAGACCATAGCAGTGGTGGCTGAAGTTCTTGTATTGGGGACAAGCTCATGGCGGGAATTGCCCTCAGCTCCCCCTTGCTATCCATCCTGCACTATGCCAACATCTACATATGGAGCAGTGCATTGGCTGGTTAGTAGAGATGACAACAACCACGGGTCGTCGGTATATATAATTTCTTTTGACTTCAAGAATGAGGAGTTCTATTGGACTCCTTATCCCCTCGCCTTAAAGATAAAGCCGTATCTTTCGCTTTTTGTTCACTTGCTTAATTTCAGGGGATCTTTGGCCCTAGTGGATGTTTCTTCGTCAGATATAGAGATATGGGTATTGGCATTGAAAAAATATGATGATAAGAAGAAAAATGAGTGGGTGCTAAATTACAAAATATATATGCACAAACATCCTCTTCGTCTTGGGACTCGTGAGTCTAGGGTTTTCAATTTTGGTGAGTGGGAGCACGGTATATTTTTCCATGAGGAGAACTATTTGTATAGGAGAAGTATAATCTTTGTGGATCTAACACATAGGTCCATAAAGAGAATACTATTTAAAGATGGACAGACTTGTAAGATGATCCATAGTTTTACCGACAATATGATTTCTCTAAAGCATTATGGAGATTTAGTTGAAAGAGAAGAAGGAAGGTATTTGAAGGTTATTCTATGAGAGAGAGACTAGAGGAAGTTTGTGATCTTATTATTTATATAAAATTTTAAACTTTTGAACTCTTGTAACATTCATACAATTTTTAACACCATGGCCAATTAGTTACGGGTGTGTCAAGTAATGATAAAATTTGAATACAACGTTATTTCGTATAATCAAAATGAGAACAAACCATAATGCTGTTTTTTGTTTTCGTAGCAACATAACATGAGATGGAAAATCCTAATCCTCAAAAAAACAAAGTATTTTTTTTATATTTTTTTATTTTTATAAAAAGGAGAAAGGAATAATAAGCCTTAAGTGGTGGATCATAAGAAGCTACAAAAATTTAACCTCCATCCTTTTTTGAAAAGGAAGTTCTGATCCTCGATTGGCAAACCTCAATGGGGTGAAAGGGGTAAGTTTCGGAGAGAAGAGCTTTCAAAAGAAAAGGGGTAAGTTTCGATTTGTTTGAGGAGTAGGAGACAAGAGGTTGAGGAGAGAGTGAGAGGTAGGTAATCCACCCAATATTTTATTGGATTACAATTATTATTAGCAAGGCTCTAATTAAATATTAGCCATGAAAAATTACTGTTTCTGTGTTAATCACAATAATTAGTTTTATATTTATTATATTTAAATCAATTGTCACCAAAATATTAAAATGTGAGAGATTAGTCACAAATAATAGTGATGAGTAAACAAAAGCATTGACCAACCATTCAATTGTCACCAATACCAAATTAGTTAGTGACAAAAGGGTGACTATTGCTATATAAAACAATTTTTAATATCGTATGTATTAAT